GAGAGAGAGAGTGCGCCAAGAGAAGGAGAGAGAGAGGGCGAGAAAATGGGGGTTTGTTAATTTTAGGGTTGGGGTGGGTTTATATAATTTAATTTTCATAATATTTTTATTAATATTTAATTAAATATAAAAAATCTGTATCTATATATAAAATATCTGATTTTTGAAAAATTAAGCTTCACATCTGATTTTAGAATTTAAGTTTTGAAAAGTAGGATTTGGTGTAATTTTCACTTTACAAAATTTTGCGTCTCTACCAATAGCATATGCTTGCTCAATGGAACCATTTTCACTATTTGTTCCATTTTTATTGAAATTTCTTGTGTTGAAAACCAACGTCATCATACTTTGACATTTTATAAATTTTACTATATAATTTTAATGAATTGTCATTCCAGAACATCAATTCATGTTGGAACATTTAAAATTGGTGTGAGATATTTTCAACCTATTTGATCAATAAATATATCCAAATGAAGTATCTTTCGAAATGTTGATTCATATTGTCTTGTGCAATGATTTAGATAATATAACGATGAATTATTTTACAAAATGCAAAAGGATGAGTGTTACTAAAATTGGGGTGATCAATCCCTCGTTATTTATTGTGAATTGTGATGAATTTACCATTGGTGTCTAGACGCACTTTTGGAATCAAAAATCAATTTTCATGTCAAATCCCGAGGCCCACTGGCTGCTTCCCCTTGCACAGTAATAATAAATTTTTGACACTGAATTACCATTTTCTCCTACAGACTGCTTATTTCTCTCACTTCTATTATTAATAGTGTGAGGCGTGTAATGATTTGGCGGGGGAAGGGGGGGTAGATTGGTAAAATCTCATCTTATGACCTGACTTCTTGTCAAATTAAGTGAATATATAAATAAAAAAAAAGCAACGATCCATTTTTGAATTATTAACATCCAAATTATGCTCAACAGTGCACCCAGACACACCCGTAGTGTAGCAGTAAATTAAATCCCTCAATTTACTATCAAGTGAAGTAATAATACATTTTAATTCACTATACACTAAATCAAGAAGTCTATTATCACTGGATAAGCACCCCTTCTCACTCGTGATGAATATCGTCATTCAATTCTTCACAATCATCAAGTCATGTCTTTCTTGCTTAAAAATTCCTTTTTATACAAAAATAAAAAATAAAATAAAAATTATTTATTAAAAATGTGAATTACATTTTATAAAAACGAAATTCTTTGAAATTGCAATACTAATAGAAATATTTTATGAAAGCTAGCTTGACCTCTTCGCTTCTTTAGATGTATAGACTGAGCTCCTTTTCTTTTCAATTCACCGAGCAACGCTAGAGACAAACCAGGCGATAAAATGATCAAATAAATAACATGGAACTACATTTCATTATAAATTTCGAGGACCAGATTTCTCCAATTCATGAATTATTCTTGAAATACAAACCCAAAATGTTTCTGGAATTTTACGGCAAGAGTGTGACGCCAAGGCTGAGACAATAGCAAAAGCAAATCTTTGAAATTCGGGTTTTAATGACATACGAAATAGCATAGCAGTCCATACATCTGGAGCCAACTTTATTGCATGTTGGAGAGATCGAAACCCGTTAACCACTCTCATCAGCATTGCCTTACGCTGCCAAATTAATTGTAAAACATATTAGGATAGTAAAAGTGAGTATATAAGGAAAAATACTAGTGCCTCCAAATATAATTGAAGTCTCTTTTATTGAATCAAAAGCACTTGGATCACTGTTAGCTGTAATACTGCCTTTAATGGCTCAAAATACAGCTATAGACAAACCTCAGATTCAAGTGAGGTAGCTTTCTGTGAGTTTTCCTCAGAACAACAAGCAATGACTTCATCTTCAAGAAAAGTATCGGCTGCCTTAAGTAGGTCCCTCACAAGAAAAACCCGCACCCTGGAACCTTTGTGGGACAAGATAAATTGGAAAAGATCTTCAGTGGCAGACACAACAGAACGCATATTAAAGGACTTCCATCCCAATCGATTTGAAGAATTATCATGATCTTTCGATAAGGCTTCATCAGGCTCAGAAGCCTGTTGAGATATTGCTGCTATCTGAAATAATAAAATTGTATAGAGTCCATCAATATTTCAAGTATGGTATACAAATCAACTAAAAGCTATTTAGATTGAAGCTAACAGATACAGGAATCAAACAACGAGCAGCAGTATGACAGGGATAATAGTAGTACAGAACAATATTTGGTAACGAAGAGTTTGGCCACCAACTCACTGACTGGAAGTAATGTATTTAGGTGTCAGTTGCATTTTCTAACAAAACATTTCACTGTTTCTTGCTGTAATTGCAATGGTGACTTTCAAGTCATAGCTGAGCGACCAAGCTCATTTAAATAAAGATTATTTGTGTGCAAGGCAAATAATTTACTTCTCTCAAATTACTCTTGCAGTCCCAAATCAGAAGCCTTCACTTCCTACTTGACATGTCCCATATAAGAAAAGAGACCTGCAGAAAGGAGAATGAGGGGGACATGTGAGATACTTACCAGTCGTTCAAGCCGATTCCATCTTATGGAGCCATCATTTCGGATGAGAAGTTGCCTTAAAATTTTCCTCATATCAGGACTTGGGTCCGCCAAAAGCCTCCCGATGATGAAAGGATATGCACTCTCAATGACTTTGAAATCAGGATCCAAGACTTTTGCCGTTCCTTCAAGTGATCCTAGGGCTCTTATCACCAAAGCGTAATCAGGAGGAAGAGAAAAATTGAATTCATACATGACATCAAATAACTGATTCATTATGCCCTGAGTCCAAAGACAATTCAATACATTTAGACATATGGAGGCAATATAGATTATAGACCTTGGGATGAAAATGTTTAGTTCTGCATAACACTCACTGATCACACACTGAAGTCTGAACGGTTTATAAAAAGATACTCATAGAAAGTCACAAGACCTGAAAATCTTGGGATTGTCTTGTTCCATCACCGAAGGATGCTCTCAAAGCATCTGAGACTGCATGTATGTCAACACCTTCAGGAAGGAATCCCAGAGCCAGGAAGTCATTTGCCAATCCCAAAGAATCACGATTTACAAAGTGCACCAACTGAAATCAAAACGTATCAAAAAGTGCAGTACATATAACTTCCAGAGAAAATACTACATTCACTTCCAAGCAAAGTAAAGGAAGATGATTATGGGAAAATAAATGAAAAATCTCTAATACGAGGGCCCAACATTTGAGGATTTGAGGCAAAAACAATAAAGACAAAATAATAAAAGGTTTAACATGCACTAAAGTATTCAAGTGGAATAAGTAACTATTGTCCTTCTGACTCCTGCCTAACCCACCAGTACGGTATCAAACAGGAAGGCTGAAAGAGAATAATGAAAAGGTACTCCAGCAGGAATAAGGCTATAAAGACAGCAGGTGATATATTATTTTGAGGATGAACCAAATGTTGCTCACCACTCTAATAAGTCCCACACGATAGTGCCGCGGAATATCACCCATCATCCCGAAGTCAAAATAAGCAAGGCATCCATCCTCAGTAGCAACAAGATTTCCAGGATGAGGATCAGCGTGGAAAAACCCCACCTCCAGCAATTGCCTCAAAGAGCAGTACAACCCCTAAAAAGCATAATAGAGGACCAAAATATTTAAGTCCCAGCTGCAAGTGAAATGATACTGAAGAAAGATCCAACTTAAATGAATGTTGAAGAACCAGATTCTCAAACCCAGTCAAAATTAAACACCTTAAAAAAAACAAAATATATAACATACTAAATTCTGTCACAAAATGAGATTAAAAAGATAAGGGCATGTTCTCTTTACCATTTTCAAACCGTTTTCCGTTTTTGATTTTTCAAAACGGTGAAAACGCGTTCTCTTTCCTATTTTCGAAAATGCGTTTTTGAAAACAAGTTAAAATTTTACAAAGAAAACTCAAAACGACAAATTTGTCGTTTTGGGTGTTTTCAGTTATAATCAAGTCAAAATTTTCAAAATGCGATTTGAGTGTTTTCAAAACAATTTTTCAAAATGTCAAAAAAAGCACACTTTCAACAATCTCAAAATGGACACTCAAAACGCAAAACCCAAAATGAATTCAAAACTCAAAACACAAAACTGAAACACAAAGAGAACAGCCCCTAAAGTTTTTTTTTTGTGTGTGTGTGTGTGTGTGTTGGTTGGTTNGGGGGGGGGGGGGGGGGGGGGGGGGGGGGGGGGGGGGGGGGGGGGGGGGGGGGGGGGGGGGGGGCTCAAATTTAGGAACCATGCATCTGACTACCTCATCGATGAGTTTCTTCCGATTTAGACGGGCCTCCCGTAGACGATTTTCATCCGTAAGCTTGATCCCATCAATCCATTCCATTGTAAGCACAGCTTTACGGGTTAAGTTCCAATATATTTTAGGTATCTTGATCCCACTTGCTTTCGCAAATGATATAGTATTATCTTTGGAATTCCTTTCATCATTATCTGATAACCAAATCATACATCATAACCAATGAAACAAAGGGGAAATAGAAAGGTTGTACCAAAGCACGCAAATATTTTCTAAGTTCCCTGCTTGATTTACCATAATGGAGAAATGACAGCAAACTACAGAAAACAAGATAGCATGTATATATATATACATGTAATACAGAACACCATAATCGTCTTCTTACCTTTGTCCAACAACTCACTATGGTTTTTATTGCTTCACAAGATGACTAATTGCATTGGTCAAAATATGCAGAAAATGTTGGCATCTTCTGATTCAAGATAGTACTTTACCAGCATATATGCAAAAGATCATATCTCTTCAACAATTTCCACAATCTTGGTTATGCCCAGCCTACCTCAACTACAGCATCCCTCATTAATAAGAATGATAACAATCATGATAGAGGAAGCTTTTGAGGCTTCAGGCCATTTTAAGACACTTTTTAACATGTTGAGATTGTCAAATTTTCGCAAACGAAACCATCCATGCAGAACATTATAGGTTATAAAGACATTAAGGATAGTTGTCATATTCTATATATCCCCAACTGAGAACCTAAAAGGGAGAATCTTCTTCTTCTGTTATTATAATGCAGGAATGCATCATCTAGACTTAAATATTAAATGATGATGATGGCATATCTTAGATACCTTTACCATAACATAAAAACATTTGGTTCATTTGTAAACTTCGTAGCTAAAAAGATAGTCTACTGAACTCTTATCTCAGACTTCAATGTTAAACCACAAGACACTAATGAACCTCCACAAAAGTCAAATACATGACAAACCACTCATCCTGCCCAAAATGAGTGCATCATGTATCAACACACAACAGCCATCACCTTAATTTGTAAATATTGCACCACAAAATTGAACTTGTACTCTCTCTGTGTTACATAAAGCTACCACAAAACGAGCAACTAAAAAGAAAATGGTTGTAAATGTAGAACTTACAGAAGCAGCAGGCATAGAGTGAAGCAAATCTCTCAGCATTTTGACCTTCCAAGATATAATCAATTTCCTCAAACATGTGTCTCACCTATCCATTCAAGGAAAACCTAAGAAAATTGGAACACACATAATAGACGATCTAATTCAAGATATGTGCCATTTGAAAGAAAATAAATAGACCAATGGTTGAGCCAAATTGTTATGGAAATATATTGATATGTGAACAATCTAACAATGTTATGACATTCTTCATCTTTCTTCCTATTTCATTGGCAAAACAATCACTTAAATAGTACAATCATACTCGTAACAATTATGGTTATGTATTCACCCCCATCCTTGAGAAGTCAAAGCCAATAATAATGTAAATTAGCTAGTTGAGTACACAAAATAATGTGCATCAGAATGTCGGTTGCAAAAAATTACTCCAGTAATTGATATCTAGATGTAGTCTCACTAAATTGGACTCCACAAACAGATTATTCAATGCATAATTGCATGTTATTGTTAACTGGCTCCGTATATATAACTTGTTCAAGAGTCTCACCATCTCATTCACTGCTCCTAACAGATCTTTACGAGCTTTGGCAAATCGCTTTAGTTGACCTCCAATCATATGAAATAACAATGCATCGAGGGTCAATAAATACGACATACCAGGCCTCTGAACTTTAACAGCTACAAGCTCTCCAGAATGCAAGTGAGCTGCAAAACTTGAAGTGGAAAACAAAGATTTAGCTAAATTGGCTGCATAATATGTATTTCTGACCAAATCCAAATTGGTACCTTATTCCAAATCCCTCCAACAGAAGAGAAAAAGAGTAGTATAATCAAAAAAGAAAATAAGAAACAGGATATGAAGAACAATTCATGCACACAAGAACCCAATTGCTGAAGCACCAGAAAACTTCCTCTCATAATTATAACACAATAAAGTCGTAATCATTTTAGAAAACCAAATGTGTTATATGCCAAAAACAAAATTTTCTTATCCTAAAATTAACCCTTTTGAAAGAAGTCATTCCTAGTATCAACTATATGACGGAATTCCGAATAGATGTACACACACACACACACACACACACATATATATAATTGTCTATTTAGACAAAGAGGTCATAGTATATAACATCGTTCATTTCATAAAATAAATTTTTTTTTTATAACATCGTATGAAAGGCATTGGTGTACTTCATTGATGGGAGAGGTAGTAACTTAACAACAAGGCAACACACAAAAACCCCTAGTCTAAGACAGCTCATCTATGATATATTATATTGATATATCCGATATATATCATTCTACATTAATATCTTCTTTTGCCAAGTCCAAGAAGCCTAACTTTCTTTAAATCAAAATGATATTAGGACTTCTTCTGAAGTTCTGGCTTACTTTTTGAAGTGTTTTTTCTGAGAGAATAAATTCAATTAAATTCATAATACTTCTTTCAACTCTAGATGCAGAACATAAGCAAAGCAATACTAAAGTATTAGCAATTTTTTTGATCATTGAGCATATTTATAACCATATTATAGACCAAGTTATTGTTGATGTCATTTTGTTCCACATACAGGTGGAAAAAAGATCTGAAATATTACTATTAACACCTAATCTGTCTCATATACTTATGAGGTCAACCATATGAAAAATCCATTGATTGAGCAATTTACTGATAGATGTTGACTGGAGGAGAATGAAAAGTATAAATTTGTGATCTCGATTCGCGAACCTTTGTAAACCTGTCCCAAGGATGCTGCAGCAACAGGCTCCTCGCTAATATCAGCAAATACTTTTGATATTGGCATTCCCAACTGAGACTCAATAGATCTGATGGCGATGTCTGTTGGAAAAGGAGGTATTTGATCCTGGAAAGCAATCAGTTGTCAAATAAAAAGCAACAAAGAAAAGCATGTGCCAGGTAACTGATGAGTCAAAAATAATTCTCACCCTAATCCAGCATTCAGCTAGATTACACTACACTGCAAAAGGCCAGCATACCTGTAACTTAGCAAGTTCTTGGCAATATAAAGTTGGCAGTATATCTGGTCTCGTGCTCAAAGCTTGTCCAAGCTGTTAATTCCAGAAATAGTTAATTGGCACCTATTCACCCATTTAATCAAAATATAAAGTTTTGGCAGCCCATAAAAGAATTAAAATGCTGCAGTGGTCACAAATTCAGTTGTATGATGTTAATCAAATAGATTGCTTAGAATTTATTGAACCATCAACAATGATAGCAAGTGAATAACTGTATACAGTCACAGATGACTGATATTGAATCAAGAAGCAGCCAGGGAGTTCTCTTTGGAAGTTTGAGAGATAGTGAGGAATAAACTTAGGTTGGCTTAGGCTATGCTTTTCAAATACATCACTATCATTTTAGTGATTCCATAATGTAGGAAACTGAATCAATTAAGATTATTATTTTTAGTTAATTAGAGACTTGTAATTGTCTTTCCTTAGTTAGAAGATTTCTTTTCCTTTCCATAGTCACCTCGTGTAATATATAAATAGGTTGAAGTAGGTTTTGTAATATAATTCCAATATATCAATAGAAGCACTCGTTTCTTCATGGTATCAGAGCTAGGCTTCTAAACCTAGCAAACAATGGCGGATTTCCCCGCCAACAGTAGGGAGTCGACGACCTCTGAAACATCCAATTTCGAAACGGAGGTCAGTCATTCAATTGGCTCTCACGGAATTGAATCCTCTTCCTTCCAACTCACCGTGGAAAAGTTGAATGGAAGAAACTACGGTGAATGGGCCCAATGCATAAAACTAGTAATTGACGGAAAAGGGAAGTTAGGCTATCTTACCGGCGAAACCAAGAGGCCAACAGATGCTACATTGTTACAGAAGTGGAAGTCCGAAAATTCAATGGTGACTGCCTGGTTAGTGAATTCCATGAAGCCGGCGATTGGGAAAACATACATATTCCTCCCGACTGCAAAGGAAGTCTGGGATTCGGTGAAAGAAACATACTCTGATTCTGAAGATTCATCACATATCTTCGAAATTAAAGCCCGATTGTGGCAAACCCGTCAAGGACCCAGAGACGTGACTGATTATTACATGGAAATGGTGAATCTTTGGCAAGAACTCGATCTGAGTGTAGAAGAAGAATGGAAGTGCCCAGAAGATTGTTCTCTGTACAAAAAGAAGCAGGAGAATGAACGGGTCTATGAATTTCTCGCGGGGCTGAATCGCGAATTAGATGATGTTAGAGGACGGATTTTGGGTCGAAGACCGCTGCCGCCGACTCGAGAGGTGTTTGCGGAAGTTCGTCGAGAGGAAGCGAGGCGACTAGTAATGATGAAGGAGACGATCGGAGCTTCTGGAGGTGGAACCGGAGCCTCTGGAGGTGGAGAGATGTCGGCCCTTAATGTTAGAAGTGGTGGACCAGACTTTAAAAGGTTTATTGGGCCAAAATCAGATGGGCTTGGTCCGAGTAACTTAAAAACAGCAGTGGGCC